CTTTTTATATATATATATATATATATATATATATATTAATTTGAATAGAAAGCAGATAACTTTAAGGGTCCATTAGTTATAATTTATTTAAATTAATAATTGCTCTGATTTGACATATAGCTCTCTGGATTACATCGTCCTTGGGGATTATCCATACGGATTACCAAACATTTCATTGCAATATATATATATATATATATATATATATATATATATATATATATATATATATAAGTTAACAAATCCGTTGGTGTATAATCCAAATAATATAAAATATTAAAACTGATCCACAAAAAACAGCTCAATGTATTTATTATTACAGAGCAAATAATTAATAAACAATAAAATCCAAACTCACCTCATATTGGGAATAGCCTATTTCGGCAGACGAAGATATCGGTCGTCTGTCTTATCAACCCCGGTGTGGACTGGGTTCGTATCAGAAAAGGAAATTTAACTGTGAAAGCTAAAAAAAAATGTCCGGTGCATTTCGTCTGATTGAAACGTTGAAATGGATAAATTCTGTATTAGTTTTTCGATTGTTTTTGCTTTTGGGGGGCACATCACTCAATGAGACTGTCGATGAAAAAATGTTCATTGCAATGAAAATAATATCAGTTTAAAATCCACTAATTACTTAAAAATCAATGTGTTTATGTTACAGATACGAAAATATAAACATATATAGACATTGAAAGTCCCACAAGCTTATGTGTCTCTTAAGCAATCATAAGAAGCTCAACATTCCAACTAAAATTCTCTGCTAACGGGAGATATCACTAACAAAGTAACTGTTATTTACGCTTTTTTTAAAGATTTTTTAATGATAAAATAAAGGAAATAAAAAAAAACTGCTTGACTCATCTGCATTTTTTTCCATCAGCCATAGTGGAATATCAGTGATGTTATTTTATTAATAATTAATAATAATAATAATTAAATTTAGTGATAATTACTATTTAAATCTGTTCTAAAATAGATTATATAAATTGGAAGTTATTTCATATCGAGCTGAAGCCATTGAATCGAGGACGGTGTAGATGCTAAAAATTTGAAAAGAAAGGTGATTTTTAATCATATTAAAAGAAAATCTCTTTAAGCAACTTTCTCCCCAGGGATGACGAAAAAACTAGAGGCAGTAGAAATGTTGTTCTACAGAAGGATACTCAGAACTCCATGGACGGAGAGAGTTCTCCCTTCTTCTTCTTGACCTGGCTTCGCAAACGAAGATTTATGAATTGGGCTGTCCACGTCGGCTGCAGCCACGTTGAAAGCTAAGCCGATGCGGGACAGGCATTCCGGCCGCAGCGACTGGAATTAAAGCTCTGGTCTGGTATAGCTGCTGAGGCATCCCGGTCCTTCTTCCCGTGGTCCCGCGAGAGTCCTTAAAGGTGGAGACGGCCTGGTGGACGGTGTGGCGCCTGGCTTGACGATCAGCAGCAAGTGTCGACCACTGGCAATGGTCAATGTGGCAGGTAGCGAAGGACTGTTGAGGGATAACGCTTCTTTGGTGCTCCTCTGTCACAGTGGCCTTTGGAGAGTACGCCGTACAGGGCTTCTTGGGCAGGCGATGGTCTCCCATTCTGGAGACGTGCCCTACGCAGCATAGCTGTAACTTCAGCAAAATGGATTCAATGCTGGTGATTTCTGCTTGTTCGAGGACATCAACATTAGTGTCGGAGTCACTGCAGTGAATGTTGAGGATGTTACGGAGACAGTGCTGATGGAAGAGCTCAAGGAGTCGTAGGTGGTGGCGGTCACTCAGAGCCGTAAGGGTGATGTGTACGACGGCTTTAGAGGCTAATCTTGGTGCCCTTTCCAAAATGCTTGCTGTTTCAGACTCTTTTGCAGAGTCTGCCGAAACCGCTAGATTGCCTTGGCCAGTCTGCTGTCTACTTCCCTGTCGATCCTGGCAACCGATGTGATGGTACACCCCAGGTAAGTGTACTGGTGAACTGCTTTCAGCTCAATCTCGCCAATGGTGATGTCGGGTGCAGGCTGGTGGAGGACCTCAGTCTTCTTCAAGCTGATCTCGAGTCCAAAGAGCCAGGCAGCTTCTGCAAAGCAGGATGTTAGATGCTGCATAGATCTTTCAGTGTGCGCGACTAGGGCAGTGTCGTCAGTAAAAGGAGGTCATGGAACAGCTGCTGAAAGTGTCCTTGTGTGGGCCTGCAGTCTCCTGAAAAGATGCTATATATATATATATATATATATATATATATATATATATATATATATATATATATTGTTGGTGGTGACGGTAGGTTACCCCGCGACTCAGAGCCGTACAGCAGGGTGGTGAGTACGACGGCTTTATAGACGCTAATCTTGGTGCCATTTTTCAGATTCTTCCTATTCCAAACTCTTTTGCAGAGTTTGCCGAAAACACTTTTCACTTTTCTTTTTCTTTCTACAATTATCCAGTGTGAAAAAAGGTTGATAATGCACTAGAGATAATATTATCTTTAGTCCTTAATTCATATGCATACAAACATCACATACATGTGTTTATAAATTTAATATTGCAGTCTAATCTCAGATATTTTGTGCTGCTGGACCTGACAGTATATGAACTAATTCTAAAAATCCTAATTTGACTTTGAACAAAAGCCAGTAACTAGAATTTGACATTAGATCATTTAGATATACCACAATCCTCTGTGTATAGATTACTAGGAAGTATGAGATGCAGTTAAAAAAAGCAGAGAAATTCAAAAGAAAAGGCTTATTTTCATGTATAAAATGCACCTGATTTTAGAGCAAAAGAAAATGACTAAAACTTGTAAAACTTGGTACATTTTGTTTACGTTTGTGATACATAAGCATTACAAAAACGTGATAATGACTCTTATAGACCACTAACTCACCAACACATTGAGAAAATAAATTGAAATAAAATTGAATGTTAACTTGTTTGTTTGGTATGAAACTTAGAAAGACATTATGAAAGATTTATTTCTCTTTGTTGCAATACGCTATGGGATATATATTATCCTTTTGTTGCAATATGCCATTAGATAGATATTATTTCTCCAGTAAACAAATAAATCCAATTTGACCTTATTTTGTCCATCTTGAGTTCTGAAAATATGGGATTACTAAAGTATAAGATACAGTAGATGTTTCAATAGGATTTTGGATGAAAAATCTATATCTTATACACACAGGATTACGGCATTTGATTCAATAGAACACTTGGCAGTTTTTAATTTACTACAAGAACAGGGTATTAATAAAAAAATATATAGAAGTTACTGAAAATATATACAATAACAGCAAAGCAATACTTTGACTGCACAAAGTTAAGATAAAATAAAGATTGGAAAAGAGGGTCAGTTTCATCTAAATTGTTTTCAATATGCCCCAAAAGCTTATTTTCATGTATAAAATGCACCTTATAGCAAAGAAAATGGCAAGGTAAACAAGCTGCCCAAAAGGATTCAATGAAACAAGTTTTTTTTAAAAACGGAGAAATGAAGAGACACTTTGACAAGATAATTCAACTCTGAATACAGGGTTCGTGTATAGTGTCCTTTTATAGTCCCACTAAACAAAAATAGCTCTTTCAAAGATGAGAGTAACAAAGCAAGGGGAGACCACTCTTGATTATTCATAACAATGTCTTCTTACCAGACTTACACATACAGTGAAGTGTTTCTGAGAGAATTAGAAGTCCTACCAGGATTTATTATTGGTGGTTACCATCTTAACAACATAAGATATGCAGATGACATAGATACTTTCCAAAAGCTAAGCAGAGTTTTTAGTTTTGTTAGAAATAAAGAAAAGATTACTGAACTCTTACTTGATATCTGTCCTCCTATATAGCAGTGAATGTTAGACAATCTTCTCAAAGATGAAGAAGAGACTTGAAGCAACAGAAACATAGAAAAGAGTACTGAACTCTTACTTGATATCTGTCCTCCTATATAGCAGTGAATGTTAGACAATCTTCTCAAAGATGAAGAACAACTTGAAGCAAACAGAAACATAGAAAAAACTGAACTCTTACTTGATATCTGTCCTCCTATATAGCAGTGAATGTTACACAATCTCCTCAAAGATGAAAAAAAGAGACTTGAAGCAACAGAAACATAGAAAAGAGTACTGAACTCTTACTTGATATCTGTCAGTGAATGTTAGACTCCTCAAAGATATAGCAGTGAATGTTACTTGATATCAATCTCCTCAAAGATGAAAAGAGAACTTGAAACTTGCAACAGAAACATAGAAAAAAGTACTGAACTCTTACTTGATATCTGTCCTCCTATATAGCAGTGAATGTTAGACAATCTTCTCAAAGATGAAGAAGAGACTTGAAGCAAGAAAACAGAAAAAGAGTACTGAACTCTTACTTGATATCTGTCCTCCTATAAGCAGTGAATGTTAGACAATCTTCTCAAAGATGAAGAAAGACTTTGAAGCAACAGAAATTACTGAACTCTTACTTGATATCTGTCCTCCTATAGAGACTTGAAGCAACAGTGAATGTTACTTGATACAATCCCTTCTCAAAGATGAAGAAGAGACTTGAAGCAACAGAAACATAGAAAAGAGTACTGAACTCTTACTTGATATCTGTCCTCCTATATAGCAGTGAATGTTAGACAATCTTCTCAAAGATGAAGAAGAGACTTGAAGCAACAGAAACATAGAAAAGAGTACTGAACTCTTACTTGATATCTGTCCTCCTATATAGCAGTGAATGATTACAATCATAGAAAAAGAGTACTGAACTCTTCATAAGATGAATGAAGAAGAGACTTGAAGCAACAGAAACATAGAAAAGAGTACTGAACTCTTACTTGATATCTGTCCTCCTATATAGCAGTGAATGTTAGACAATCTTCTCAAAGATGAAGAAGAGACTTGAAGCAACAGAAAAACATAGAAAAGAGTACTGAACTCTTACTTGATATCTGTCCTCCAAATATGAAGAAGAGACTTGAAACAACAGAAAATGTTACTGACAATTGATTCTCAAAAGATGAAGAAGAGACTTGAAGCAACAGAAACATAGAAAAAGTACTGAACTCTTACTTGATATCTGTCCTCCTATATAGCAGTGAATGTTAGACAATCTTCTCAAAGATGAAGAAGAGACTTGAAGCAACAGAAACATGGAAAAGAGTACTGAACTCTTACTTGATATCTGTCCTCCTTCTCAAAGATATAAACAACAGAAACAAGAAAGTACTGAAGTGAATGTTAGCAGTGAATGTGGACAATCTTCTCAAAGATGAAGAAGAGACTTGAAGCAACAGAAACATGGAAAAGAGTACTGAACTCTTACTTGATATCTGTCCTCCTATATAGCAGTGAATGTTAGACAATCTTCTCAAAAGATGAAGAAGAGACTTGAAGCAACAGAAACATAGAAAAGAGTACTGAACTCTTACTTGATATCTGTCCTCCTATATAGCAGTGAATGTTGACAATCTTCTCAAAGATGAAGAAGAGACTTGAACAACAGAAACATAGAAAAGAGTACTGAACTCTTACTTGATATCTGTCCTCCTATATGGCAGTGAATGTTGGACAATCCTCAAAGATAGACTTGAAGCAACAGAAACATAGAAAAGAGTACTGAACTCTTACTTGATATCTGTCATCCTATATAGCAGTGAATGGAGACAATCTTCTCAAAGATGAAGAAGAGACTTGAAGCAACAGAAACATAGAAAAGAGTACTGAACTCTTACTTGATATCTGTCCTCCTATATAGTAGTGAATGTTAGACAATCTTCTCAAAGATGAAGAAGAGACTTGAAGCAACAGAAACATGGAAAAGAGTACTGAACTCTTACTTGATATCTGTCCTCCTATATAGCAGTGAATGTTGGACAATCTTCTCAAAGATGAAGAAGAGACTTGAAACAACAGAAACACAAGAAAAGAGTACTGAACTCTTACTTGATATCTGTCCTCCTATATAGCAGTGAATGTTGACAATCTTCTCAAAGATGAAGAAGAGACTTGAAGCAACAGAAACAAAGAAAAGAGTACTGAACTGTTATGATATTTGTCCTCCTATATGGCAGTGAATGTTAGACAATCTTCTTCTCAGTGAAGACAATCTTCTCAAAGATGAAGAAGAGACTTGAAGCAACAGAAACATAGAAAAGAGTACTGAACTCTTACTTGATATCTGTCCTCCTATATGGCAGTGAATGTTGGACAATCTCCTCAAAGATGAAGAAGAGACTTGAAGCAACAGAAACAAAGAAAAGAGTACTGAACTCTTACTTGATATCTGTCCTCCTATATGGCAGTGAATGTTGGACAATCTTCTCAAAGATGAAGAAGAGACTTGAAGCAACAGAAACATAGAAAAGAGTACTGAACTCTTACTTGATATCTGTCCTCCTATATAGCAGTGAATGTTAGACAATCTTCTCAAAGATGAAGAAGAGACTTGAAGCAACAGAAACATAGAAAAGAGTACTGAACTCTTACTTGATATCTGTCCTCCTATATAGCAGTGAATGTTAGACAATCTTCTCAAAGATGAAGAAGAGACTTGAAGCAACAGAAACATAGAAAAAGAGTACTGAACTCTTACTTGATATCTGTCCTCCTATATAGCAGTGAATGTTAGACAATCTTCTCAAAGATGAAGAAGAGACTTGAAACAACAGAAACATAGAAAAGAGTACTGAACTCTTACGTGATATCTGTCCTCCTATATAGCAGTGAATGTTAGACAATCTTCTCAAAGATGAAGAAGAGACTTGAAGCAACAGAAACATAGAAAAGAGTACTGAACTCTTACTTGATATCTGTCCTCCTATATAGCAGTGAATGTTAGACAATCTTCTCAAAGATGAAGAAGAGACTTGAACAAAGAAACATAGAAACAAAGAACTCTTA